TAGGTCCAAAATTTTGTCAGCTCAGTTTTTCGTGAGGCCTGGCATCTGTTGCGATGCCTCGGGCGCCAACGCTTCGGTATGGTGCTTTTCGATCGCATCGTATCTCACAGCTTGAATTCAGTCTGTCCCAGCCACTTCAAAGATTCGACTCTGCGTGGCTACAGCCACCTAGACAGCTTGCAGACGCGATTTTGCCTGGGCTCTCGCGAGTCAGATGTCCCTATTTCGGGCAAGTGCACCATGTGTCATGGAATCAACATCTTATGTTCATACTGGATACAAGGTTCAAGTGTTGATTGGGCTTGGAATGCCCGGACATGCTGGAGACCTCGCGGGTGCATACATGCGTGCACGCATTCAGCAAGGCACACCTGAGGTACTGCCTCATTGACGGTCTAATTTAGCGGGCTTTTAAGCAAACAGTGTGAGTTGAAGATACATGCTTTTTTCCAGCAGTATCCAGGGTACTCCTACGTAGTCTGCAAAATCTTCAATGTCTCACCGCTGCAATACTCGTCTGACCCACATAGGAAGGTGCACATTTGCAAGGACTGTGGTTGTCTTCTTAGGCTTAGGACAGTGTTAGTGCTGCAGCATTGGCCACCATCCTATTCCGCAACACTAGCATCGGTTCGGAAGGACCTGAGACTTCGAATTTGGCCTGTGCTTGAAGCACAGGGGCCGTCGACAGAGCCGGCCAGCCATCTCTGACACACATGGCGCAGTGACAGTCGTCCTGCCTCGGGCAGCTGGAGTAAGAGCGCGTGCGTTTGTTTAAGTCATTCTCAGGCGCGGCATCGCTTTTTGAGATGCATGTGCCATGATGACACGACGGGCTCCATAAGGTTTAGCCTTGGCAACCGTGCCTTCTCGCCATTACAGGCAAAAGACTGCAGGCAAAGTGCGCAACACTGTGGGCGAGGTTCCTGCTGTGCTGCCAGCTTGTTGGAGCTTACGAATTCAGAGTGCCGTTCTTCATGCTAAGTTGTGTTTGGTGTGACAGACATGGATAAATGACGTGTCAGTTGCTGAACACAAACCTAGTGTAATCCTAAATGAGCGCCCCTTGAGTCGCCATCCTTTGTTCATTTTCTTCGAGTCTTTGAAGACAGACCGGCATGGTATATGGTGCTCGCCAACCTTGTTTTCTGGCTCTCAGGCATATTGTAGGTAGCAACATGAAGATATTCTGCTCCTCTGAGCAGCCATGGCAAATCCTTTGAAGGCCGGGCAGTTGGCATACATGTGGCCACAGGGAGCATCGTTTGGGTAGCTGGGTAGCTGCTGCTTGAGCAGTTTCCCCACCCTTCAACAAAAAAGACACAGTCTACTACGTGTCGGGTTGTCAAGGGTGGGAAAAACTTGGATATAGAAAGTTGAGTATTCAGAAAATTGATCACCTACACTCTGACGAGCTGAAGACATTGCATTTCAGAGCATTGCATGTCAGAAGAAGTGCACCAGAGTAGCTGTCTATTTCTGTCTAGACAAGTTCGGAGCCGCCCAACTGAAATGGACTTGGCTACGTAGCTGGGACTTCTCATCGCCACCTCCCTCCCAGAATTAATTCCACCTCAGTGTGCAAGCTGCCTTGCAAGGCTTCAGACGCCGCCTTCCCGACCAACCTTGCTTCTGTGAGCCTGCCGGGTCTGGCTGCTCCTGAGAAGTCGGCCGCTGGACTCAACTGGGCTGGGTTTGCTGGGCCATGTGGGGCAATGTGCCCCCGTAGCATTGTTTGCCTGCTTTGTAATGGCGTTGGTTTGGATAGCGCCGGTATGTTGATGGGGACAGCAGGACCACTGGGCAGGAACATATGTTGCCAGAGCTCCTTCTTATGCCTGTGAGAAGCCGCACCTGGTGGCATAGCAATAACTACCACAAACGTGTCTGCTTCCTCGGCAGTTACATCTCCATGAACAACTTCTAAAATCGTCTGAAGTCCTTCTAAGGTCGCTCGAGACACAGTGAGCCCAATACCTTCAATAATTTCTAAATGGAAATATTTGTCTCTTATTGCGTTTCGAAGCATACTCTTGACATTCCTGACTGCTCATTTATTTGACTTTAAAGTGTCTCATGCCTCAAACTGTTTGAGGACCTCATTCATTTGCGAGTCCTCTGCAGGCTGAGACTGGCACAGGGCCCGTCAGGGAAGGCCAGCAACTGCAACTGCTTGCTTTCGTGGCAGAAAGTTGTGAAAATATGTATAGGCTTTTTGTTTGTGGGGCACTGATTATGGTACAGTGCCTAGTAGGGCCTAGTAGTTTTTAGTGGTACTGTAAACGGCTTCTAGGTTTTAGGGCCACAAGTCAAGCGCCAAAGATACATGACGCAGACAGTTGGCATGGTTTGCACAGGATCTGGCCAATGCCTATGTTGTCTTGGTGCGAAGGTGTCATGAGACCTGGGCTCTAGGGTCATCAGCCAGCATCTGATTTAGGAAACGGCTGCCGCAGTTTGGGGGTGTGAGGCGTACACTTCATGCGGGCCAAGCACACCAGACATCCCGTTATAGCTGCCAGTCTTGGTGTTTCTTGGTGCCATCATTCCTTCATCCATCACGTTGCTCTGATTACAGTGCTTTCAGAAGTTAGCTTGAGTCAATGGTAGTGGAACCAAAGAGAAGAAGCGGTGGCAGCTACATCCTGGTAGTAGAAGGAGAAGTAAGCGGAAGTAGTATATCTTGCTTCTCAATACCAGTAGCCAGAATGTTTGGAGTGGCAGGGGATGTTGTTGTCCTCAAAGTGGAGCAGCAGCCTTCTGATAGTGCGCCTATCCTCGCAAGTGGCAAGATTACCTCAACAGCCACAGCAGATGGTATTTGTTTTCAGCATTGTGCATCGCTTCCCCGGGAGGGAGGCTTAAAGAGGCGCTGCGCCATTCTGGGGATACATAAGGGGACCTTCACGTTCATAAACTTGCTCTTTGTGCCAGCTACATGGTGGCACTGAGGTCTGGTGTCCCCGTCTTATCTCTGCCAGCCAGCTGCTAGAGGACTGAGTGGGGCATCGCATCGGCATGCAATGCTTGGAGTGGTAGAGTAGATTTTCCGACACCTATCGGGACTGGCTTCCCTTTCACTTTTCGGATCATTCTGGTCTGATCCTGTAGTTCCCTGTGATGCTTGAGGCTGCTTGAAGTGAAACAGTTTCAGAAGCTTCGTCAAACCATATTTGAAGCTTTGCAACCCTGGCAAGGCATGTTCCTTGATGACGGGCTACTGGCCTTGTCCAGGAGGATTCCGATAGTGAGATCGTGTTTTGCGGGCCACGGCTCAGGCCCTGATGCTTGTGAGCTGGAACAAGTGGCCAAGCATGAAAGGCATCGTAGCAGCATCACTAGTGATTGAAAACGATTGTTTTGATTCCGTCATAGCTTGCACAGAGTTCATGAGCTAATTGGAAAGCATGGCAGCGAGTGAGCATTTTGATCCTGCTTCAAATTCTAGACCTCACTAGTGCCATGCCTAGTTCTTCTGTGTTCCCTACAAATCCCTATCCACTCCTTCATATCACGCTCAAATCGCTGCTCATGTGAGGCCAGAGGTTGATGAGAATTCAGCTCCTTCGGAGTGCTATCTGATTCAGGCCAGGTTTGTGTCACGCCCTGCAAAAAATTTGATAAACGGACCCGAGCTTGCATGTCTCAAAATCCACTAACCTTTGAATGTGTCAAAACCTGCTTCTTTGCAAGTCTCTAAGTCTGACCACGCGCTCTTGAACTGCGACCATCTAGCGGCTAGCAATGGTCGTTTCCCAGTTCACCTCACCGCCAATTCACCTCACCGCCCACTTACCTAACTTCATCCCCGGCACCCGCCCAAACCTTCACCCCGAACCCACAGGGATTAGGGCTTAGGGTTTCCAATTCATACAACATCTCAAACCGCCCAAGCCTTCACCCCAAGCCCACCCGAAACCCCAAATCAAAGCGACCTACCCAAGCCCCTGATTGAAAAACCCTACTGAACCAAAGCCATCAACCACATTAATCAATCCCTGATCTGAAGCACCCCACTTAACCCCTAAACCCTAAACCCTAAACCCGAGCTGGGGAATCCATAAACTTCCCAAAGCCACCAACTCCCCAACCTCATCCAATGAGACACCCACCAATCCCCAAAACACGCCACGCCAAAGACGCCCGACCTTCGTTCAGAGACGCCTACCAAATCATTCCGAAAATCACACATGGCAGTTGCCCAAAATAAGGGACCCCAACATAGACCCCAAAATACTATAATCCTTATTATGGGGACCCTCAAAAAGGGGCCGGTAATTTTGGAAAGCCCCCAAATCCTCCACAACCACCAGGCCAGAACTGCCTACGAAGCCCGTAACCATGTCCTAAACAATCAATCCTAGATTCCCACCCCCCGGGCTCACCCTCACCCGCATGGATTCCGTAGGAAGTGACAAAGTTGGATCAGGGCCTCCGAGCGCTATACTTCTACATAGAGACTAGGACCAGGAGGGGCATCACTGTTAGTTTCCGGTTCTCACGTACTTCCCAAAGGCCTGCTGCCAAGCCTCGCAACTGCCCCTATTCCCGCAAAGGGCCGGCGACAGATCGTGATATCGCCGACGGCAGCGACTACGACCGCATAGTGGTATTCCCTGCATGTATTGTTAACGTCGGAAGTGTGCTTCTGCATCCTGCTTCCAGCAGCTCCAGTTCCTCGAGTCCCGCAGTTGTAGATGTTAGGCGCGTGGAGCTGAGCTTTCTTGTCGCCCCAATCAACGTCCAAGTCCCATACATTATTTTGTTCTGGATTGCTGGATGAACGACCGTAACTTGTGCATTTGGCTCGAAGCTCTCTCAGCCGGCGCGTCCTAGATTACAGCTCTTGTTGGCTTCCAAACTTCCGAGCATCTTGCAAAAGATCCATGTCGAGACTTTCCGTGTTTGTGTCGATCATCTCCCTCTTTGCTGGTGCCTTGGGGAAACTAAACAGCAGCCCCCAGCCCTACCATCCCACCATCCATAAGCCACCCCTAAAGGCGCTATGGGCAACCGCCCATCCGACACCCACTTCCAGAACCTCCAGGGAGGTAACAGCGGCATCAGCGATCAAGGTCATGATTCTGAACACGGCGTAAACGATCCAAGCACTTGCTTTATTGTTAGCGTTGTTAGGCTTGGTCAGGGATGGCAGGGTTTAGGGTTTTGGGTTTGCAATTCAGGGTTTAGGGCACGGAAGATGCCAAGGAGCCCAACTACAAGGTAAACAACATTTACACCGACTTCCGCAAGTATGGCGATAAAATCTTGGACGGGGTGAAACAAACCCTCGACAAATGTCACCACGACGAGCTGTACCCTCCGCATACACGCAAGACCGAATGTATCTTGACCGCGATGGACGACTCGCTGGATGTCTGGTGGGTGGATTCACGGGAGGCGTTTATGCAACTCCTGCCAGCCTTCATGCAGCATAAGACCCGGGCGCTCTTCACGTACAAGGCCCCCAGCATGAAGGAGCACAATCATGTCATGCTCTTCAAAAGCTCATGAAGCTATGACCGGACGAGTTTGGTTCGCTGCAGGTAGGGAAGCGAAGGAGTTGCGACAGAGAAAAACGAAAGCAGAAAGTTGCATCCAGACAGCCATGCATCTGCATTTGCTTGACGTGCAGCAGCCGGAGCATCGCTGGGCTCCTAAAAGCCTACCTTAAAACACCACCTCGCCTTACACCAGGTGGAGTCACGGCATCGACGAAATGCATACTGCATGACATTAGCAGCCCTTTACCTTTCTGGTAATCCCTACACTTGAAAAGCTCCTATGGCAGGTCATCCAACAAGGTTCGCACGGGCATCCGCACGGGTCGCCCTTTTGTGGAGAACAGGAGTAGGAAGGCTTTAATGTTTTTTGGCACGAGTTTTTTGTGCAGGGTTTGCACCATCAGCTCCAGCAGCACCGGCACAGGCGCCGCCGCTTCCACTACCCACCGCCAGCAGCGCCGCAACCACCATCGCCAATAGCAGCACCACCAGCCCCAGCGCCGCCACCGCCACCACCAACAGTGACCAACAGTACCAGCATCAGCATCGCCAGCATTGCCAGCGTTGCCACGGCCACCGCTACTCCCGTTCCACCATCCCAACTGAGATGTTGCAGGCCTGGCAGCTCAGCCAACTATGTGAGACGGAGAGGCTCTGCTGCAGTACCACTCCTGCCCAAGAGAGTGTAGGAAAGCAGTTGCAGGTAAACTTGAGTGCGATATTGAGGCCCCACCATTACTTGTAGACCCACCTACCGGCCCCATGGCTTAGCTCGCGACTTGCTCTTTCAGTGGCAGCGCAGTAGATTTCCATCAACTTACTCGGCTGCATCCTGAAGCCGGCAGGACACGTGCTGGCGGGTAAGCTTTCCCATGCAGGAACGCAGTTGCACACTCCATGATACTTGGTTTGCTTCAGGGTTGATACTAAATCAGGTTTCCTTGGCATGTTCGTGCCAGGTGCCACAAGCGCAGCCAGGAGGCTCGTGGCCCAAATGATGACATCAGATGGAGCACCGATCGGGGCTTTTGCCAGCCAACCTCAAGGCAGAGGCAGATGACTTATGTGCGCATGTATCTTTGCATGGGGTGGGGCATCGAAAGCTTGCCTGAGCCTCAAACGTCTTAAACAGATAGACAGTCAGAATTAGCAATCCTTCCTTCTCAAGCTAGCTCCACTGCCGCTTGACAGGTTTGGGCAAGAAGGACGTCAAGATCAACGGCGCATCAAAGCCAAGCTGCACGGGCGCCAGCAAAAAAGCGGGCGAGGTCGCACGGGAAGGAACAGCTGTTGGTGCGGGCAAGCATGCTTCAATTGGCAAGACCAAAGGACAGGGTAAGAGGGAGCCCCCAAGCATGAGCAAAGGTGAGGGCAACGGGAAGGGGACACCAAGAAAAGGCAAGGAGACCTGGGCCGACAACGGCAAGGACAAGAGCAACAGCAAGGGCCAGGGAAAGAGCAAGGAGCTATCCAGAAACACGCGTAGGTTGTCGGAAAGTCGTGAGTCTGGAGGGTCTTCACCAAGCCTTGCCGAGGCGGGGCACGCCTCGAGTTTGGAGGAGTCGAATGGAGCGGCAGCGACTTCTCCTAAGGCAGGAATGCAGAAATGGCAAGCCAGGACCCCTTCCCAGGAATCGACGGTCCATGACCCGTCGTCACCAATCTCAACAACAGCGACAGGGCGCAAGTGGCTGTCGTCACCCGGAATGGCATCCCTCTCAGCCAGCAGCCTTTGGGCCTCTCCAGACATTGAATCTGGATCCAAGCCAATCCTTCCCAAGGAGCCTGCGCCAACATGGCAGGTGAACCAAGCTGCAGCGCAGGAGCCGAACCAGCCACCGCGGGACTCGAGCGACTCTCAGACTCCAGAGCCACGGCCTGGATCATCCGATGCGCGCCCAGCCTCTCCAAAAGACTCCGAATCTTTGCCTGCGCTTTGGATTTGGTGGATTTGGGGTAGTGTATGGGGGAATGGCGACCAAGATGAGCAGGGAAGCGATGGAGGCGGGCAGAGCCTGGAAGAAGCCGGCCACGTCAGTGCTTCCTCCTGCAGCGGAAGGACTGCGTGTGAGCTGTCTCCTCATTTGAGCACGCAGAAAGCAACAGCAAAGCCTAATCCCGGACTTTGAGGAGCCACCACGATTGAGCAGCATGTCTTCATGTTCTGCTGGACAAGGCAGGCAGCTGAGACCCCCATCTCCTGCCAGACACAAGAGTCAAGATGGGTTAGGAGGCTTCTTAGGAAATCGTGTGCCAGTGCTCCGGGTTCGCACACGCTATCTCTGATACTTACACCACGTGACTTCTTATGTTTTGAACTCAGCAGTGTGCATTGAGACGGGCGATGTGAAGAGTGACGCTTGATTCCGAAAGCTCGTCAGTTCAGTCTTGCGTCAGGAAAACTTGCGGAGATGCCTTTAGCATCAATGCTACGGCATGGTGTTATTCGATAGCATGTTTGTCACGTCATGAATTCAGTCGGCCCCCGCCACTTCTCAGATTCGACTTTCCGTGGCTACTGCCACCCAGACTGCTTGTAGAAGCAATTATGCCTCAGCTTGCGCAAGTCAAGCTGTCCACCTTAGGACAGCTAAACGGTTATCATACTTCTGGAATAGCATGCCCATACTAGGCATGTGGCTCCAATGCGGGGGCCTTTCTTTCCAGGGCCTGGAATGATCAGGCACGCTGGAGATTTGTTGTGTACATATATGATCATGCATGCAAGGCAGAACATGGGTACTGCATCCACACAGCAAAGCTTTTGCAACGGCATTTCCATGGTTGCAACTACAAGTTATGGCGACTGCAGTGCCCAAGCGTGCAACTCCTGAGCGCGCAAGATCATGCAACAATTACAATGTTTCACAGCTGCTACATTCCGCTACATATTTGAGATAAAGATGGGATGGGAAAGTTGCTGCACGTTCTTCTCGCAATGTTTCTCACATTTTCCAGCGATTTGTTGTTTCTGTTATGGTATTGGTCACCATCCCATTCCACATCACCAGCATTGGCTTTCAAGGAACCTCAATGCAGATGATAACTTGTGCTATGCTTGGAGCGCAGAAGTTGTTGACTGAACTTGCTGGCAATCAGTCTGATTGCCAGCACAGCCATCTTCCCTCGCGCAGCCGGTGAGTGCTTCCGTTTGTCCGAGGCATTCTCCAGCACCGCACCTTTTTCTGAGATTTGCATATGTGACGATGACAAGTTTCGCTTTCCCTTCGGAGTCACTGTAGGCAAATTTTATAGCACTGTGCATCCTGCTGCGCTACGAGCTCGTTGAATCCTGAAGCTTGAAGTTGAGGTGCAGTCCTTTTCTTTCTCTGTGTTTGGCTCGAAGGGCATCTGTGCAAATCTAAGGCACAGCCATATAACGATGCTTCCGGCACTCCACACAAGCACTCACTCTCATCACCTGGTGGTCTGCAGTCGCTTTTAAGTACAGGTGAAAGACAGGCTTGCAACCGTTTGTTGCCCGATACATGGCATACAAATATCGGAGTTCACTTTTCCAACAGAGGTCAGATCTAGGCGTTTTAGACCAACCTTCCGGCAGCGGCAAGTTCTGGGTTTAGTCAGCGCCTCAGGCCTTCTTGGTGCTACTTTCGCAAGCCTCGGGAGGTATGTAGTGGGGTGGAAGGTACCCGTGCATTGCTGCTCAAGAGTATGTGTATACCCTCGAGCCTTGCAGCTTCTTTCGCCGAGGCCGCATTCTGCGCGTCGTCTTTTCAGAGTCGACCTAGGCTGTTCCTTTTGCAAGTGCAGAACATGCTGATCTCGCAACATTCGGCTTCTTGAGTTATAGGGGTAAGTATGGTTTTGGTGCCCAAAGGCTAAAGAAACAAATGCCAAAGCAATTCCTGTGAGACTGTAGTCCCAACAGTTGCAGAGATGGTCCGCGAGAAGCCTCTGATAGGATCTCATGGTCGTTTTCAAGCAGACGTCTATTGCCCCCTAGAAACAAAGTTCCAGCTAGTTCTTCAAGTTCTCCTTGTGTTAAGCAGGATATGGGGACAAAGCTATCTGTGCTTCGTATGCCGAAGCCGCCTAAACCCTCAACACCTTGCTGGGTTTTTGCTAGGCAGAGTGCACCACCCGGGGCTGCCGTGCAGCTGCAGGTAAAGCACCTAGAATTTGGGCCTAGACCCTGAACCGTTGATTAGGGTTTGGAGAGGTTGCCTAAGGGCTGTGCAGTAAAAATGTGAGGATCAGACAGGGAATATGATGTTACAATATGCTGCAATGTATGTAAACTTGTATAGGAATCTTTGGCAGGTTCTATCTGCGCTACTCTCTGCCCTGATTCATAGTTCATAGCCCGTTCTTTGAGAAGCTTCATGCACTACTGCACACATCCGTGAACATGCACGTGCGGCAATGCTGTTCTTCGTACTTGGTTTTGGGTTATCGGCCACAGTTTCTCCTTTTGCCACTTCCTACGTGAGGGCAGGTAAGGCAGGGTTGCGGAAGATGCCATAAAGGCAGCTCTTAGCAGCGCGGGCCACTTTGGAATTCATGTCACTCCCTGTAATTTTGCAGGAGTAGTATCACTCCTTTGATTATACATGGTGATGAGCTTGTTCGGTTTGGGGATTCTTGCAACAATGGAGTCCTGTTTTGTAGGGACTTTATAGCTGAGAGTAGTTGAAGCTGAGATCCGATCAGTCTTTCAGAGTAGACAGGGCCCGAATTTTGCCAAGTTCACGCACATTCGGGCGCAGTGTCACAATGAAGAAATGCTGTGTTTGATTGGGCAGTGCTTGTTCATGTGGAATGCTGTTTTCACTATCGAGGCGAGAATAATCTGCAAGACGAATCTTGGATGATGTGCATGCTTTTGAGATGCAAGCCGCCCCCACTCCCTGTTCGGTGGCATCAAGTGTTTCTTTGCAGGTTGTTTGATCACTTCGCCTCTGTGCAGCGGCGATGACCAGTCCCCCGAAGGACGGGTCGCAGTCCTTAAAAAGCCGAGCGGTGGCGTTGATACTGCTAGAGAACGGCGAC